AAGACCTTCTATGACTCTGTGGTTACATCAGCCATCTTGTACGGTGTGGTCTGCTGGAACAGCAGTATCACAGAGAGGGACAGGAAGAACCTGGACAAGGTCATCAGGAAGTCCAGCTCAGTCCTGGGCTGTTCCCTGGACATGGTGCAGCAGGTGGGGGAAAGGAGGGTCCTGAGCAAACTAACATCTATGCTGGACCATGACTGTCACCCCCTGCAGGTCACTCTCTATGCTCTGGAGAGCAGCTTCAGTGACAGACTAATTCACCCTCGCTGTCTGAAGGAGAGGTTTTGCAGGTCTTTCCTTCCTGCTGCTGTCAGACTGTACAACGAGAATGTGTAACAGGAACTGCTGAGTCTGCACAAGTGTCACTGATAATTCACTAGTAACTTTGTCACTTGTCACTTTACCTGTTATCAGTATGTGAAATTTCATAACACTTTTAAGCAACTTTTGTTATAGTTAAACTCATCATTCTATCAATGTGCAGAAGCCAGTACTTTTCCCTTGTTTTGTCTATCTGAAGGCCAAGCTACATGGCACCGTGGCAGCTGCTGATTGGAGGTCTCCATGCCTCCGCTCTGTATAATACACTTGCATTCTGTTGTATCTGTTGTTCGAGCTGTCTCTACCATTGACAATAAAACATGTCTTCTGTTTGAATTTAAGACACGATCCCGGACTATGTCATCTTCTTCAGGTGGTGGAAGGATGCGGGCCTTGTCTGTAACATCTAGTGAACAGAAGACTACTTTTTTTTTACACAAAAATGTGTGTTTTTTTCAAGCCAAAACTGAAAAACCTCAAGAGAAACCATGCATCTGGACCAGCACACTTGGATAATCTGCACAGCCCCTGATTCCAATCAGGCCTGCTGTGAGCTGCTGAGACATGGACAATACCATCGTCCTCTTTTGCATGGACACCATTTGGAACAATTGGATTTCTGAATTTGGACATAATTTGGACTGAATTGAATTGCTGAATCTGGACACTGAAGCTGAAACGTGTGATTGAAAGACACGTCACAGAAGAATTCATGGCTCGACACAAATGCAGAAGTCTGAAGAAATCAACAGGAGAAGTGGGAGAGACTGTTTTCAAAGCAATATCTGGAACCACCATCGACTGATGAAGTTTGGTATTTTACTGAAGATTGTTGACAAGTTTTATGAAAGATCTGAACATGTTTTATGAGTTTTCTGAGTTTTTGAAGTATTCCGAGTTCTGAGTTTTTTGAAGTACCGAGTGAAGTACCGAGTTTATGAGTTTTTGAAGTATTGAGTTATGATGTTATGTTGCTGTTTATCGATCCTGATGGTCACACGTGAATGTGTGACCAGAGGGGGGAATGTGAGATTTCATAACACTTTTAAGCAACTTTTGTTATAGTTAAACTCATCATTCTATCAATGTGCAGAAGCCAGTACTTTTCCCTTGTTTTGTCTATCTGAAGGCCAAGGTACATGGCACCGTGGCAGCTGCTGATTGGAGGTCTCCATGCCTCCGCTCTGTTGTATCTGTTGTTCGTGCTGTCTCTACCATCGACAATAAAACATGTCTTCTGTCGGAATTTAAGACACGATCCCAGACTTTGGCATCTTCTTCAAGTACTACTGTATTATTACATATCTGATAATTCTGCCTTTCACCAGTCACTTTACCTGTTGATATCTTACTGTATTATTCATATCCATCTGATAATTCTCCCATTCAAGTCACTTTACCTGTTGATATTATTTCTGATGTTTATTCTGCTCATATTCTTATATTCTCCGCTGCTAATGTATAATATAGACATCAATACTCCGAACCAAGTGCAATTATAGCCCAGAGTTGATTTCATTTTATTTAATTGTATTTTATCTTAAATTTATTGTCTATTATCTTAAATAATAGACTATGATGTGTGCAATCTGAGTGCTCTTATTTCCTTTCTCTGCTGTAATGTGCAACGATGACACTGGAATTTCTCCACTGTGAGACTAATAAAGGTTTATCTTATCTTATCTTAAAAAGCAGGTCTCGGTCCGGTTCTTTGCACCGGACCAGGATTCGTTTGTGTGTATTCACACCTGCATAAAAGGACCAGACTGCAGGTCTCAATACACCCTAAGATTTGACCAAGACACCCACAGAGCTCTGCTGCCACCTGCTGGCTCAATAAAACACTGTCTACAGCCAAACCACAGACACATACAGTATGATACAGGGGACACAGACAAAGAGGAAATAGAATAGATCATCCCGCCAGGGCTGCCCGCTATCTCCAGGTCTTTTTGTACTAGCTATCGAACCTCTGGCGGAGGCGATTAGACAAGATCCTGACATTAAGGGATTTATGGTAGGTCAAAGAGTTCATAAAATTAATTTATTAGCTGATGATGTTATGTTATATATAACAGACCCATCTAGTTCTCTAATTAAGTTACAACAATTACTTGATGTGTACGGTACTGTCTCAGGTTACAAAGTAAATTACGATAAGAGCGAAGTTATGCCACTTACAACATTTGATCACTCTGTGTGTCGTGGTATTACTACATTCAAATGGACTTCAACAAGTGTAAAGTATCTGGGCATAACTGTAGGTAATAACCTGAAGAACCTCTACCAACTGAATTATATTCCGCTTATTAAAGAGATTGAGGAGGACTTACAAAAGTGGTCTAGTTTACCTATTACTTTAATTGGAAAAGTTAACTGTATTAAAATGAACATCTTACCGAGGCTGCAATATTTCTTCCAATCACTTCCCATACCTCTACCACAAGCTTTTTTAAAATGTCTTAACAAAGCTATAAGACAATTCATATGGAATGGTAAAGTAGCCAGGGGGTCTTTAGAAATATTATCATGGAATTACAGGTCAGGAGGGCTTCAATTACCCGACTTAAAAATATATCATCTTGCAGCTCAATCGCGATTCTTATTGTCCATGTTTGAGGGTGACACAGTTCCATCTTGGGTGCACATTGCCTTTCATTCTTTGGGAGATACTGTTTTTTGTGATTTTGTCTATAAGTATGACTTAAGAGCCCTGCTCAAAGCAACAGACCACCCAATACTGTCCCATTTTATAAAATTATGGTACGACATACATAAATGTATTGGACAGAAGATCGGACTGTCGCCAAAGTCACCACTGAAACAAAACCAGCTCATTCCATTGACCGTAAACAACAAGATCCTGGAAGCCTGGTATCAAAATGGAATTCACATTTTGGAGGACTGCTTTGACAAAGGAACCTTTATGTCTTTTGAACAACTGAAAGGCAAATATAACCTTTCTAACAAAACTTTTTTTTGTTATCTGCAATTGCGGTCATTTCTAGTGAGCACTTTGGGAAAAGAGGTGGTGTTACCTACTCTCACTGTATTTGAAAAAATGTTGCATTCACAAGATACATACAAATTTATATCTAAAGTGTATTCTACTTTGATAAAAGAATGTCCCAAACCAGCACTGTATAAATCTAGGCAAAGGTGGGAATCAGACTTAAATATTACAATTGAAGAGGACATTTGGTCTGATATATGTCAGGACAGCATATTTGCTATAACTAATTCTAGATATAGGCTTACCAATTACAATTTTCTCTATCAGTTGTACCTGACTCCGGAGAAAATTCACAGGTCTATACCTGAACTATCGGATATCTGCTTTCGATGTGCGACAGAAACTGGGTCCTTTTTACATTGTACTTGGTCATGTGTGAAAGTTAAATATTTTTGGCAGGATACTCTATCTACCATGACCAAGATCTCAATGCCTTTGGATCCTGAACTATGTCTAATTGGAAATCTTGTTAAGATTGCACCTTTGAACAAATACCAAGCGACATTTTTTGAAATAGCCCTGGCAGTGGCTAGGAAATGCATTGCTGCTACATGGAAGTCTGATTCCCCCCTGCCTTTAGCCAAATGGTATACAGAAAGGAACAGTTGTGTGCCGTTAGAAAAAATAACATATAGCCTTAGGAAGTCTTACAAAACTTTTCAAAAAATTTGGCAACTTTACCTTGACCACGTAGGTATAAATTTTTATGTCAGACTGGAGCCTTTCCTTTTTTTTTTTTTTTTTTTTGAGTGAGCTGGGGAGGGGGGTTTAATATTTGTTGTCTTTTGAGTTGTTTGTATGAAACTTGAAAATTAAAATAAAATATTGCACAAAAAAAGAAGCCCAGAGCTTCCCGCTAGAAAGAAAACAACGCTCCAATCACGTGCCAGTCCCATCTATAAAAAGCCCTCTACAGCCCACACCTGCCACTTTGAACTCTGCCAAAGCCAGGCTGGACTGATGGGCCCGTAGCTAAGTGGCTACGTACTATTCGTAGAACTTAAGTTACACTAGGTAACTACCAATTCTATAGCATAGTGCTAACGCCACTTAGGCTTCGCTGTGGGTACCACGCATAGCCGTAGAGCAGGGGTGTCAAAGTCAAATGGACGGAGGGCCAAATAAAAAATTTAGCTACAAGCCGAGGGCCGGACTGTTCGAATGTTCATTGAAAAAATTTTAAATGACGCATATAGTCTAGTGAACCTAATTGAACCTACTGAAAACCTAACAAATATATTCCAATATGATCAGATAAATAAAGCAATATTTTCTTATGGCTCTGTCAGTAATCTTTAATTTTCAACAGACACAAAAGACAAATTTCCTTTATATAAAAATCCCCATAACATGAACATTAAATGAAAGAAACCGGTATTCAAGGCATCATCAGTAGCCTATATTTTCTATTTTAGCAAAAGTGGGCTAAATTTACTTCAAAGAAAAAAACAATAATAGCAATTTTCTATCATCCACTCAACTGAAATATTTTTAAAATATAATTGGATTGAAATACAATAAAATAAAGTGCAAAAATCTATTAATCAAAAACAACACTTTGTTTAAGGAGAAGTAACATGCAGTGAAAACAAATATTAAACTTTAACTTTTTAAACTTGAACTGAGTAAAAACTCTAAATATGTGATTGCACAGTAATGTTCACTTGTTTGAGGTTGAGGGTGATACTTGGTGGTGTCCCATCTTTTCCACAAGTTCATCAATGTTCGGGGTAAGGCTCTGAGCTGAGGAAATCCTCAGAATTGAGTGGAGGTGTTCAGCAGTAAGTCGACTTCTGTGTGATGTTTTGTTCAGGTTCATCAAAGAAAACAGTTGTTCACACAGGTATGTGCTGCCAAACATAGACAACGTTTGAGCAGCCTGGATGCGCAGCTGGGGCATTGTGTCGGGGAGGAAACGGGCGAACTCCGCAGCACCCACTGCCGCATATTTTGCCCTCAGTGCATCATTGCATTGGAGGTCAATCAACTCCATTTGGAGGTTTGGTGGTGAGCTTTCCACGTCAACAGCAAATGGGTTACCGAGCAGTTCCAACCTGCTTTTTTGTGCTTCAAAGTCAGCAAATCGGCGTCGAAATTCAGCGGCAAGCATACCTATTTTATCAGCCAACTGTGCGCTCGGGAACGCACTGGTAGAGAGCTTCTCTTTCATGGTCTGGCAGCTGGGAAAGTGGCTCAAATTTTCTTTCCGCATCTGCGTCTCCCACAGAGTCAGTTTGGTTTTAAATGCCTTCACCGTACTGTACATATCAGAGATGACATGATCCCGACCCTGCAGCTGCAAGTTCATTGCATTCAGATGACTCGTAATGTCACACAGAAAAGCCATTTCACACAGAAACATTTCGTCTCGGAGTTGTGTTGTGTCTTTCCCTTTGCTGTCCAAGAACAGACAAATCTCCTCACGAAGCTCGAAACATCTTTGAAGCACCTTTCCCTGGCTTAGCCATCGCACCTCTGTGTGATAAGGCAAATCACCATGCTCCGTTTCTAACTCCGTCAGAAATGCCTTGAACTGGCGGTGATTCAAACCTTTGGCTCTGATAAAGTTAACTGTGCGCGTGATGATGCTCATTACATGCTCCATTTTCAAGGCTTTACCGCACAACGCTTCCTGGTGTATGATACAATGATAAGCTGTCAGCTCACCTGTCGCGTTTTCCTCTTGCATCTTTTCCCGTATCTTCGCCACCAGTCCGCTCCTGTGTCCACACATCGCGGGTGCTCCGTCGGTTGTCAAACCCACGAGTTTTTCCCAAGGCAGCTCCATCTCATTTACACATCTTGACACCTCTTCATACAAATCATGCCCCGTAGTTGTGCCATGCATAGGACGTAAAGCCAAAAACTCCTCTGTCACGCTTAGGCTGGAGTCCACTCCGCGGATGAAAATTGACAACTGGGCAATGTCAGAAATGTCGGTGCTCTCATCCACAGCCAAGGAATATGCAATGAAATCTTTTCCCTTTTTTACAAGCTGCTCTTTTAGATTGATGGACAACTGGTCTACTCTCTCGGCAATGGTGTTTCTGCTCAGACTCACATTTAAAAAGAGTTACCTTTTTTCTGGGCAAACTTCGTCACAAACTTTAATCATGCAGTTTTTGATGAAATCCCCCTCCGTAAATGGCCGGGCTGATTTAGCGATCTCTTCTGCCAAAATAAAACTGGCCTTGACAGCAGCCTGGCCTTGTGATTTGGCCTTTTTGAACAGAGCCTGTCTAGATTTGAGGCCTCGTTTTAATTCCTCTGCCTTTTGTAGCCTTTGTTCCATGTCCATATTCTTGTTTTTGTCCACGTGTTTCGTTTCATAATGTCGTCTCAGATTATACTCTTTCAGTACCGCCACACTTTCTCCACACAGAAGACACACAGGTTTTCCAGCTACCTCCGTGAACATATACTCCGACTCCCACCTTGTTTGAAACCCCCGGTTCTCAGTGTCCACCTTCCGTTTTGCCATTTTTGATGGGTATCTGAAAGTTAATTTTACTGTGATGCTAACGACTGCTGTGCCAATAAATATTGAAATGAAGCAGCCTACTGCTCGGTGCGTCACCGTTGCATTGTGGGAAATGTAGTATTGGTGCGTGTAAAAGATCTGCGGGCTGCTGGCTTGCTGCGGTCTGCGGGCCGGTTCTAATAATAAATCAAGATCATCCCAGGGGCCGTAAAAAACCTTCTCGCGGGCCGGATGTGGCCCGCGGGCCTTGACTCTGACATATGTGCCGTAGAGAGATGTACTCCCATCAGGCCAGCGTAAGTGATTGGAGCCCTGCCCGAGTTCCCACCGCACTACCAAGGCGCATGGACTCAGGGCAGGAAAAGAAAGAGAGCAATGTACAAGGCCGCTCCTATCAAGGACGCCTGAAGACACTGACAACTCCTGAAGAGCAAGACAGAGCAAGGGCCGCTCCTACCAAGGACGCCCTCACTCTGACAAACTCCCGTAGGAGTAACAAGAAAAACATACTCAGGACGCCTCTACCAAGAGCTCCTGAAGTATGGAAGGTAAGGGAAGAGCAGGTCACGACCCCAGGACGCCTCTATCAAGAGCTCCTGAAGGGCGGACTGGAGCAACCACAGACAGCGGGTCGACTCTCTGCGAGCGGCCCACGGTGAGTCAGACCCCCGCGTTCAGAACGGAATGAGCAACCAACCGTTCTCCAACGTCCACTAAATAAGACAGAGCAAAGGAAGAGGACAAAGCCCAAGAAGCGGCTTGGCAGACATCCTCCACCGAGGCCCCCCGGAGTAGAGCTGTGGCCGCGACTCCTGAGTGTGCGCTGAACCCTCCCGGGGGAACCAATTCCTGGGCCTGGTATGCCAAACAAATCGCCCAGGAAACCCAGTGCGCCAACCTCTGAGGCGTCAATGGTGTGCCCCTGTTCTTAGGGCCTGTGCGCACAAACAGCTGATCAGACCGTCTGACGGAAGCTGTAACAGCCAGGTAGGATTTCAGCATCCTGATTGGGCACAACAGATGCTGCCACTCGTCCTCCTCCGAGGCGTGAGGCGGCGGGTGAAAGAGTCGGACCCTGATGACCCTTGACCTAAAGGCCAAAGTGACGACCTTAGGCAGAAGGCTGGATTCGGCCAAGACTCCACCACACCATCCTCGCCAGACATTCCGGGCAAATGGAGAGTGCGCATTGTTCACCTGCCCTCTTGGTTGAAACCATAGCCAGTAAGAGGGCGGTCTTGAGAGCCACACACTCGAGGCTGGCCTGAGCCACAGGCTCGAAGGGGGGTCCCGATAACCCCCTCAAGACCACCTTGAGGTCCCAGAGCGGAGGCGTTCACCGGGGAATGTGCCTCTTCCTGCGGGCCCCCAAAAGGAAACGTTTGACCAGCGGGTGGGAATGGGCCGAAAAGGTCCCGAACCCTCCGTGGCGGGAGGCAATGGCTGCCGCGAACACTGGGCAGGACATGGGGTCCCACGACCGGGCCGCGCACCAGTTGCTGAAAATCTTCTACCTACAGCCGTAGGCTCTGACAGTGGAAGGGCCTCTCGCACCCTGAATGGTCAACACCACCGACTGGGGGAGACCCAGGCCTACGAGATTCCGCAACTCAGCTTCCAGACCCACAGTCTGTGGCCCAGCACTGGGGGCGAGTGAAGCGTCCCTCCTCCCTGGACCAGAGCCCCGGGCTCGTCCGGGAGAGGCCAAGGTTCCCTCAACACCATGCCCCTCAGGAACGGGAACCAGCGGGCATGCGGTCTGTCCGGGGCGGTGAGAATCACTTCCCGACCCTCTTGCTCGATGCTCCTCAGGAAAACCCCTGAGCCACGGATAGTGCGCCAGGGCATCCACCCCCAGGGGTGGATTGTCCGTGGGCACAGCGCGTTGTCTGCACTGGCGAAAAGGTATGGCAGACCGAACCTCTTCCATACCTGCGCCGCTATCCGCGGGGCCAGGCCCCACTCCTCCTTGAGTTCCGCCCCTGTGTTCCTGTCTCCGGGAACGGGGCGGGCCCTGAGAGACAGTAGATTCACATCCGCCCAGAGCAGAATGCTGGCTGCCAGGCGATGGAGACCGGGGAACCTCGTGCCCCCCTGCCTGTTCACGTAGGCCTCGACGGTGGTGTTGTCCGAACGCACCTTTACATGCCTTCTCTGCAGCAGTGGAGCAAAGTGCAGCAGCACCCTGCGCACAGCCTCCATCTCCAGTAGGTTGATGTGCGGAGATGAGCCTGTTCAGAGCCCACCCACGGAGCTCTGACCCAGAACCCCTCCCCACCCCTCGAGAGAGGCGTCCGTGAACACTTACATGTGTGACACGGTGCCTATCAGGGGAACCCCGTCCCGCATCTGACCCGGGGTGAGCCAGAAACTGATGTCTGATCTCACCCTGGGGGAACTACGAGCATCGTCCCTGCGTCCCGGGAGGGGTGAAGTCTGAGACCTGAGAACCAACTCTGAAATCCTCTCATGTGGAGAAGACCCAGACGCACTACCACATGGGCCGCTGCCATCATCCCCAGGAGTGATCTGAGACACCGAGCAGCCATCCTGGGGGCGGTCAGCGCCGTGGTGGCCCGTCGTGAGATGCTCTCCTGTCTGTCCACGGATAGAGCAGCTCGAAACTCCACTGAGTCCAGTAGCAGACCGAGATAGAGCGCTGTAACCTGATCTTCTCTCTGTTCACCACAAAGCCCAGCTGCTGTATGTGGGACAGGACCCAGAGCGTTTGATCCAGAGCCATTTCCTTGGACTGGGTCAGAATTAACCAATCGTCTTTCGTTGGTTAAAATTCTGACCCCCGCGCGTCTGAGCGGCAGCAGAGCTGCCTCCACGCATTTTGAGAAAGTGCGTGGAGCCAGTGCGTACCCGAACGGGAGGCGGCAGTAGACGTAGCGCCTCTCTCCCACAACGAAGCGCAGAAAGCGTCTGTGCTCTGGCACTATTGCTACGTGGAAGTAGGCGTCTGTCAGATCGATGGTGGACATCCAGTCCCCGGGTCTGACACATTCCAGCAGCTGCTTCGTAGTGAGCATGCGGAACGGCCGCCTGGAGATGCACTGGTTGAGAGCGCGCAGATCCAGAACAGGGCGCGCCCCCCCTGACTTTTTGGGAACCAAGAAATATGGGGAGTACAGCCCCCTTTGAGCGTCCTGCGGGTCGACCTGGACCGCAGCGCCTCTTCTTAGCAGGGAGGCTACATCCTCTCGGAGAGCCTCCTTTGTGCAATGTCGCCTGGAGCGCGCCGCTCGAACGCCCTGGAACGGCGGTGGTCTCCTCGCGAACTGCAGAGCGCAGCCTCTGCACAACGTCTTGTCCAACCACACGTCTGAGAGGAGTCCCTGTTCTCTCCAGACCTGGTAAAAGGACTTGAGAGGTGGCACCGGACTCGTGACACCTGACCCTAATGACCCCCACTCTCCTGGTGCCATCACAGGAAAGGGAGGGTTCTCTGTGTGTCAAGCAGTGCGCGACAGATAAGTTCTCCCTCACTGTCTCGCTAATAACACTCGGCTTCCACGCCGTGCCGAGCGGGACAGATGGCTCTCCCACCATCGTCCCGCCTATAGCAGCCTGACTCCTTGAATTGCTGCGCGAGACAGAGGAGTTCTCTCCTCTGTCTCGCTCATAGCAGTGAGTCCCAACGCTGTGCCGTGTGGGGCGAACGGACCCTGGTCCATTGCCCTGGTAACACCAGCCTGCCTCTGCAACTCTCTCTCTCCCTGCTCAGAACGCCCACAGACATGAAGCCAGTCTGGGTGGGAGCGGAGGGGGGGGAGACTCCGCTGCGCTAGCAAGTCACAAGGTCCTCTCTCTCTCTCTCTCTCTCCTCTCGAGTGACGAGAGACCCCTCGTCCCGGGGAGATAGCAGCACGCCCTGTAGGCAGAGCTCTCCTCAACATGGCCTCCTCCCGCGTGACAAGAGACCCCAGTCTTCGTCAACTCGGTCTCCTCAGCACAATTTCACTGCCTGGGTGAAGAGGCAGGTTGAGAGGGACATAAGAACCTCAGACTCCTCTATAGAGGGCAGTCTGGGCATGTCTCTGCGGCACTAGCATGAGCCACGCGGTGCTCTCTCTCCTCCCCGGGAGATAGCAGCACGCCCTGTAGGCAAAGCTCTCCTCAACATGGCCTCCTCCCGCGTGACGAGAGACCCCTAGTCTTTGTCAACTCGGTCTCCACAGCACAATTTCACTGCCTGGGTGAAAGAGGCAGGTTGAGGGGGACATAAGAACCTCAGACTCCTCTTCCTGAGGGGAGTCTGGGCATGTCTGGGCATGTCTCAGCGGCGCTAGCATGAGCCACGC